ACTATATATAAAACTTTTAGCTATAAAATTTTAACTTTTTTAAGCATTAAGCTTTTTTTACTTTATTACTTATAAGTTAAATAAATAATAAACTAGGCCTAGCATAGCTTAAACATATGTTTAATTACAAAACTAAAGTAAAGGTATAATAAGTATACTAACTTTTATTTCTAAATAGCTATAAATTACATGTTTTAATAAAGTTTATTAAGTACTATAATAATAATAAAATTCTTTTAGCTATATACTTACTACATGTAACTTATACACTACAGCTTCTTAATGTCTACATGTTTAAACCTTTTTTGTTAGCTTACTTAGCTAAGTTAGCTAGCTTTATAAATAAATGCTAAAAACTATTATTAATTAAAAAAAAAATTCTATAGCATGTTTAATAAGGCCTAGAAAATGTCTTTTAAGCATAAAACTATTTTTAGTGCTTTTAAAGTAACTAGTTTATTACTATTTAAGCTATAAGTAGTCTTAAATTAATTTTACTATAAGTAAAAAAAGTAACTATCCTCTAGTAAAAGCACTAGCTTAGTGCTTAGTATAAAAAATTAGAAAAAAGTTAAAAGCTTTTTAAATTAGGTTATTAGTAATTTTTATAGAAAAAATATATAAAAGCTTAAAAAAACTGTCTAGTTATTTTTAGTATATTGCATTCTTCTCTAGTGTAAGCTTAAGCAAGTTAAAGATGCGCTAATTAATAAGAAGAAGCGCTACTAGCATAGTAAGCCTTTTCTACTAGAAGCACCTTTAAAATATTATAGTAGTGCAACTTTTTAGTTTCTAAATAAGGTCTAAAAAGCATGTAATTATTAGGCATAAAAAATGCTAAAAAAGAGGCTTTATAGCTTTAAAAATAAAAAAAGGTAAAGTATAAAAAAGTAAAGAAAGCTAAAAAAGCGCGCGCAGTTAAAGGGAAAAGGCATAGAGTAGTAATAGTAAAGAAGGCTTACTTATAGAAGCTTAAGACAAAAGTAGCTTAATAAAAGAAGGCAGAGCTTACCTAGTAGGTTAATTAACAGCTTAAAAATAACTTTTAGTAAGTAATAAAAAGTAAGCAGAAAGCTCCTACGCCTATTGCTAGTACACTAGAGGATTTTAATAATAATGCAGTATTAAATAAAAAAAAAGAGCTAGCATTAGGCAGAACTTAACATAGTAGGCAAATTAACCTTCTTATAAAGTATTATATGTAAATTATTACTAAGAATAGAATTTATAGCATTTAATTAGTATTATAATAAAAAATCTATATAATCTATAATTTGTGTAAGTCTCTAGAGCTTTAAAAGTAAAAGGCGCGGATTGCCAAAATTGTGCATTACGCGAGGCAGTGCACTACGCGCTAAAACATGGTACTGTGTTTTAGCGTGTAATGCACGGCCTCGCGTAATGCACGGTTCTGCGCGAAGCTGTTAAAACTTCAACCACCTCTCTCTCAACTAATATAGGCAGTATTAAGGCTACTTTAGAGTTGCTAAAATTGCTAAAACCTAGAGAATTACTAAATTATGCTGCAGTAGCTAGGCAGTATAGCGTTAATTAATTTACACTCTTAAGGCGTTACTAACGCGTTACCTGCCTGCGTGCAGAGAAACTTAAAAATTAGCAACTACTTAGCCTAGTGCAGAAGAAAGAGCTAGTAGAGTATATTAATAAGCTTTACACAAAAAGTCTATCCTTTTTAAAATAAATAATTTAAAATTTTATAATAAAAATAAGTAGTAAGTAAGCTAGTAAAAGCTAAGTTAATTAATTTATTAAAAGGCACTTTATTAACTTATTATCTTAATAGACATCTAGTATAGACGCTACGCGTAACAAAGCTAACTTAGCATTTAAGTACTTACTATATTTTAAGCTTATACATAAAAAAATTAAGTAATATAGTATAAAACTACAGCATACTTATAATATAGATAAAAAGGGCTTTTTAATTAAAGTACTATTAAAAATAAAGCAAATTTTCTTTAGATAGTAGTATAAGTAAGGTATTAAGTAGCAGCTTATACAGAATAGTAATTGCAAGTAGATTATAATAATAGCTTACATTTATGCTAATAGTAGCTCTTTTACACCTACACTAATCTACTAAGCTGTTTTTAACTATATATAAGACTTTTAGCTATAAAATTTTAACTTTTTTAAGTATTAAGCTTTTTTTACTTTATTACTTATAAGTTAAATAAATAATAAACTAGGCCTAGCATAGCTTAAACATGTGTTTAATTATAAGACTAAGGCAAAAGTGTAATAAGTGTACTAACTTTTGTTTCTAGATAGCTATAGATTATATATTTTAATAAAGTTTATTAAGTACTGCAATAATAATAAGATCTTTTTAGCTATATACCTACTACATGTAACTTATACACTGCAGCCTTTTAATATCTGTATATTTAAACCTCTCTTGTTAGCCTACTTAGCTAAGCTAGCTAGCTTTATAAATAAATACTAGGGACTATTATTAATTAAAAAAAAGACTTTTATAGCATGTTTAATAAAGCCTAAAAAATGTCTTTTAAGTATAAAACTATTCTTAGTGCTTTTAGAGTAACTAGTTTATTACTATTTAAGCTATAAGTAGTCTTAAATTAATTTTACTATAAGTAAAAGAAGTAACTATTCTCTAGTAAAAGCACTAGCTTAGCGCTTAGTGTAAAGGATTAAAAAAAAGTTAAAAGCTTTTTAAATAAGGTTGTTAGTAATCTTTATAAAAAAGATATATAAAAGCTTAAAAAGACTATCTAGTTATTCTTAGTATATTGCATCCTCCTCTAGCGTAAGCTTAAGCAGGTTAAAGATACGCTAATTAATAAAAAGAAGCGCTGCTAGCGTAGCAAGCCTCTTCTACTAGAAGCACCTCTAGAATATTATAGTAGTGTAACTTTTTAGTCCCTAAATAAGGTCTAAGAAGCATATAATTATTAAGTATAAAAAAATGCTAAGAAGAAAGCTCTATAGCTTTAAAAATAAAAAAAAGCAAAGCGTAAAGAAGTAAAGAAAGCTAAAAAGGCGCGCACAGTTAAAAGAAAAAGGCATAGAGTAGTAATAGTAAAGAAGGCTTACCTGCAGGAGCTTAAGACAAAAGCAGCTTAACAAGAGAAGGTAAAGCTTACCTAGCAGGTTAATTAACAGCTTAAAAATAACCTCTAGTAGGCAACAAAGGGCAAGTAGAAAGCTCCTACGCCTATTGCTAGTATGCTAGAGGATTTTAATAATAATGCAGCATTAAATAAAGAGAGGGAGCTAGCATTAGGCAGGACTTAACATAGCAGGTAAATTAACCTCTTTATAAGGTATTACATATAAATTATTACTAGAAATAGAATCTATAGCATTTAATTAGTATTATAATAAAAAATCTATATAATCTATAATTTGTGTGAGTCTCTAGAGCTTTAAAAGTAAAAGGCGCGGATTGCCAAAATCGTGCATTACGCGAGGCCGTGCATTACGCGCTAAAACATGGTATGTCACCTCAGCACGCTGACATCTATGCTAACACAGGCCCAATCGATCTCCTCGGAACTGTAGTCCCCATCCAACGCATCTCCACAAAAAATGCCACCCACAATCTAGGCATTACGTTCAAAACACCAAGCGCGATGTCATCTTCGCTTTCTTAAACTACTACTTCGAGAACTTCTACCGCAACCTGGCTCTCGCGGGCGCTCTTGGTATGGAATGTGCTCTTTATGAGAATGTCAAGATCAGGGATGGCACGGTCAACCAAACCGAAAGTGTCTACTTCTTAAGAGGAGTTGGTCGTCGTGGGTGTTTATTACGATGACAATTCCTCGGATCCGAATGTCACTGCTTTCTTTATACCCGACACATGCTTGATCAACTGTCATTTCGTAATCCGTAATAGCGACCCCAAGCTATTCCAAAGAGAATGTATCAACCATGTGGATAAGAAAGCTGATGAAGGTATCCAGAACCTCCTCTTGGACACCACAGTCGGGCTAGCCGGGGACTCCCTCATACTCTCTACTAGGTCAACCGGGCCGGAATACTCGCTCACTGATCACTTCGCTACCAACAATTTCGAGCAAGGAAAATCACTAGCCCCTCAGTCCGAGTTCATTGATCTTGTTGAAACGATGCTCAACAATATTGCCTTCACCATGGCGCACATGGCTCGACGAGCAATATCAAAAGAGTCGATGGCTCGAATGCACCTGGCTTCACGAAAGGAGTTGCCTACCGGAATATATTCTATTATCATATACTCTAGATGCGCTTCACTATCATGGCTGCCATGGTTTTCGAGTGCGCAGCATTTGTGTTTATGGCCGCACTCTGTACCGCAAGGTAGCAGGCTTGGAGGCGGTCAAACCTCCCGCTTCTATTTCACAGACTGGCGGATCAAGAGCGCAAGGCTTGCGGCAGAGTCTTGGATCTTGGGGCAATGGAAAATAGAGTCAAAACATGACTGTGAAACTTGAAAGTATAAGTAGAGAGGTAAGACTTCAGAGCTAATCACTGTAAGGCTAGCCTAGGCATATTCCAATCACACGGTTAAACAATATATTAGAATATGGAGAACTTAATTTCCTTATTTGCCTTACCATATCAGTGCCAGGGAAGATTCTCAAACAGTCTTACTACACAATGCTGTCTGGTTGTCTCACTTCAGTAGCCTACAAACAAATCGAAACGTTTAGACACGGCTCGCAAGAAATCTTTCGTTTCTCTTTCACATCAAACAAACCCACCAAGCATATAATAACAGCTACTGCACCGAGCAAATCTGAATATCCGCATCCACCACCCTTCCTGTCATCTCCTCTTCTATCTCCTTTCGCACACCCTAGGGAAATCCAACCCAGCCTCGTTTCTGTTCTTGTAAAAGGATACTATCTATCAAAGACCAAAGTAAGATGGTTTCATCTAAAACCATGTCTACAAACAGTGATACCAGTGAGCTCCAGCTCTACCAGTCACTTCTTTCACCAGACCAACAGGATACACTTGGCGATGGCGATATGTTAGCATTCAACCGGGAGGAGTTGCGAATGGCACCACTAATATGGTGGGATGTCAAGACAAACCTCTCCACCATACAGGACAACGCTGGTGCACCTAAAATCGAGCAAACCCCCGGGTATATTGCGCCGAAAGATCGCCAACATGCTCTTCCGCAATATGCCGTTCTAGGCCATGTTACTGAAGATGTGAAGGGAGTCCATAAACCAGTCCTACTTAATACCAACTCGCCATGGTCTGCCTTCTTGTGCGGATCCCAAGGTTCCGGAAAGTCGCATACACTGTCTTGTATGCTTGAGAACTGTATCCTTAGCGATACTGCGCAAATCAAGAAAATCGGCAAGAATCCCAAGCCGCTAGCTGGACTAGTGTTCCACTACGATAGATGTGAAGGAAGCGGCGTATGCGAAGCAGCATACTTGTGCTCGGAGATCCCGACAACCGTGTTGGTCAGTCCGAGCAATTCTGCAAACCTCACCGAACAATATAAAAGAATAGCGAAGGAGCGAGGCAACATCCAGGTGGAAGAGTTGCGATTGCTAGGGAAACACATGAATACTGATAGGGTGAAGACATTAATGGCGGTAGGGAAGGACGGCGACTTACCATTATATATGCAGGTCAGTATGCTTCATTCTCTCTCACACTTCACTCAATTAACACGGGGAAAGGTTATTATGAAGATTATCCGGGAAATGGCGATGAAAACTAAAGGCCTTGGTTCATTCAACTATGCTGAATTCTGCAGAAGAGCGTGCGCCGAGACATTTCAAGATCGGCAAAGTGGTCCGCTCAAAATGCGCATGGAGCTTTTGGAATCCTTTATACATACCACATCAGGGAAAACTCAGGATTTCCTAATAGGCAAGCCCGGAACCCTCACTATCATCGACCTCACCGATCCCGTCGTCGATGCCGATTCCGCATGTGTCCTTTTCGACATTTGTCTTTCAGTCTTCATTTCGCAAACCCAGTGTGGGAAGATCATCGCATTGGATGAAGCCCATAATTATATGGCTGAAGACGCTAACGCGTCGAAAGTATTTACAGATAAGCTGCTAAAGACTATTCGTGAACAACGGCACAAGGCCACACGCGTTGTGGTTGCCACACAAGAACCCACCATCAACCCTAAACTGCTGGATCTTTGTAGCATCATCATGGTTCATCGGTGCACGAGCCCCGCTTGGTTTGATGTGTTGAAGAAACATGTTGCGGGCCTTTTTCTAAACTCAATTGCTGCAAAGAAGGAAGAAGGCACGGAGACTGAAAAAGCGGAATTAAAGGGGGGGAAGCGGCTGGAAGGCGATTTAGCTACATTTCAGAAGATTGTAAAGTTAAGGTTGGGGGAAAGCTTGCTATTTTGTCCCACAGCGGCTGTGGATATGATGGGAAATGAGATTGTGAGGATGGAGGGTGGGTATGCGAGGTTCAGGACGAGGATGAGAGTTACGGCTGATGGTGGGAAGAGTAAATTTGCCGGGGATACCTAGGTAAAGAGAAGAATTCTGGTTGGATGAATTCATTGTAAAATCCTAAAACGTATTCGGAGGAGTCTTATATAGTGATGGGGAATTTCATTCTTCAGATCTAGAATTCTCCAAATGTACGGCTCCAGTGTTTTCCCATCCCCCCGCACAAGAATGCAAATTTTGTGAGTTTAAAGATGAAGAGATGGATCGCATCGAGTATTTTATATCAAAGCATGCCGTTGTTGGAGACAGGCTCCACCCTTTCGGAGTGACTATGATGGATGTATAGCTACGGATATCCTCTAATTCTTCTGTGGATCCTAGATGCAATGAGTGGCATAGAAAAATGCAGAATATTCTGATCGCGCTGAGTTTTACACTTTTATGACAGAATTTCACGCACAGGGATTCTCAGAAGCCTCGTCGTACCGTCCAAAAGGGGGCAAAGACGACTACGATTCGTTTCAAAGTCCCACATACCCTTTATCATAAATTCATAGTCCTTTATTTCTTAAGCCAGGTGCCAGGAACAACTGTTGCACAACCCGTCCACGGGATCGCATAAACCCACCGGTACCCAACTAACGGGGGGAATAGCCAGTATGCGGCGTGGCGTCAAACACAATATGCACAAAGTCCGATGAGAGAAGCTGAATCGCGGTCAAGTGTTGCGACACTGGTATTTGGTACTCATCGCCCCTCTTGTGCCAAGTCACAGATGGAGCCGCGAACTTAAACTCACAAGACTCGAAACGTTTCAGTAGCTTGAATGGGGCCAACAGATACAAACCCCAGACTAGTAGATCTTCTCGAAATCCTACCTCGCAACCATGGTATGGTGGGTGACTACTTATTATGGGAAACACATGTTCATGCTTCTCATGTAGCCAGCGAAGGACATCATACTCGGATCTCACCAGATGGTCGCATTGTACTTCCCCGCTAGAAATTTCATCAATATCTCCGCTCTCAAGCTGTGAAGTCGCATCTTCTATGTCTCTCAGCACATACTCTACACTCTCTGGGCGCTCAGGATGATTGTGGTACTCTGGTAGATTCTATCTGAGATCTTGACTTGTTTTGCTTGTCATCCTGCAGGAAAGACCTGGTCCAATAATTTCGGGCTATCCCGCGAGTAGAATTACGTATTATTACGCAGTATGGCCGATCAATCCAATTATTGGCATCACGATTCTATTACGGCAAATGTCAATCACTTGGACGTTAACGCTGAGCACCACAAAGATGCTTGTCTCATTAGAATCCCAGCTAGGTTCTTGGTGAATTATCGCCAAGCTCGAAAGCAGCCTTTCTGGCTGATCCCCATTAGCTCAGATTTCCCAGCTCTCGTACGCTTTGGATTCATATTCAAGAACCTGGGAATCCTAACTGTTAGTCCGGGGTCTGACCCAACTTGTACGTTGAGCGCATCCTCTAATATCTTTTTCACGGACTAACCAATCGAGGGCGCACGATACCACTGCGAATCTTTCCATGCTTGAAGCACCCCTCACGATTATTGCTCTTGTTCGCCCAGCAATCAACCAAATCATGCAACACGCAAAGAAGTTCAGTTGGGCACTCACTCTTCACTACTGCTCGTCTCGTTACCATTGATCAGAGAACACAGTTCTGAAAAGTCTAGTAGCCTTATATTACAGGGTGAATACAACATATTTAGCAGGGTCGTTAGGGTAAAGAGTAGCTCGGTGGACATACCATCTGTTCCTTCGTTGGAGGCGAGAGGCCACTCTGGTGATATTACCAGACGAGCGCGTTATGAGCACTAGGAAGAGGTTATTCAAGCCCAATGGGATGTGAGTATCGTCAACCCCGAGCGGCGATGCATATACGTGAGTTTACCGGAGCTGCATTTTGAGGTGATGTATAGACGGCACACCTTTGTGTAATCGCATTCTAGCTTTCCTGAAGTCGATTCAACAATAAATTACAGACAATTCTTGCAAACGGATATACAGAAATTACTCACCTAAATGTTACTCATTTCAGTAAAGAATAATACCTAGCACTCCTATCATGCTTCCATTCATTGTATATGAAAGGCAAGAGAAAAGAAGATGCTGTGGTGTCCTTCTGTCATTGTAGGCTCCATAACCTCCCGAACCCTCCGGAAACGAGAAAGCAATGTTTCCGCCGCTTCCCAACCAGCCTGTGCCGCCAACCCGCGTTCGTGTTAAATGTTTGCAATATCCGCCGACCGCTGTGCCCCGGTGTCATTTCGTGCGAAGGAGAAATCTGTTCCATACAGCATATTTTCAGGTTGCGCAATATCTAGCAGTAGCTGCAGCTGTTCCTGGTAACCAACAAGCGCAATATCAAATAAAATGTTTTGCATTCCTCCAGAACTCGCCAGCTGGCCTATCAAATAACCGCATCTGGATATTTAAGTACGCAGCACGAATGGTGACGTATAGAAGGATACAACTACTATAGGGCAGAATACTGCTGGAGTCAAAATATTTACAGAATCTACACGACAAAGTGAGGTGAATAACTTCCTCGTCTCATGTAGGCAATCTAATATAAGGCGAAGCATCGAGAAAGGGTCTTTGATCACCTAGTCAGCGCCATCTATGTTGGATGGATAAATAGCAGTACAGCATGAGCTGCAAGTTCTTACCACACTGACTGGAGCTCTCAATGGCCCAGATATTTCTCTCCATAGCTAGTGGATAACAGAACCCGATTGGTCCCCAATACCTCCAATGCATATCGGATCTCCTGCATGCACGCCGGCATATTCTCCTGTGAGGGAAAGGTGATAAGAGGCTCAATTTAGACGGATGTTTATTCCACAGCTCGGCCATCGCTGCATTCGCTTCATGGGACAGATGAATTGCTTCGGAGGCATTTCCCGCTCCAAAAGAAGTCATAATAGGAAGAAATGGAATAGTAGCGTTTATTCTATTCCATTCCATTCCATGAATTCAAAGCGTAATGATAGACTCTGTGCTAGGAGACGTAAGCCATGCGTAATGACACGATATTTTTTTCAAACACTACGTTTCTACCAGCAAGGCGATTTTGGATTCCTCACGCCCATGTTGCACAAATTTGGGCGGAAGGATGTGATCTTGCACGTAGATTTCCGGAGATGTCATCGTGAATGGTCCTTTGCAATGGAGCTGAGCCTTTGCCAGGCAAGCGATAAATATGAAAGGCTCTGGGCTTTAATATCTCTCAAGGGGGCAAAGGTGCACTTCAAACACTTCACTTCACTATATGATTACCTAGTCACAACGTTCCTCTTCCTTGGCTTTCTCGTTGTGCACAATCCCCCAGACCGTGATGCGTCATCCCAGCCAGGCTAAAAGATTTGGTTCCTAGATGGTAGTGAATCAGGAATGCTATTCAAGGAGTAAACATTTGGCAAGTCAGTATTGGATGCTGTTGCCTCTGCGGTCACGTGCGCTCGCGCGAAAGTCGTGCGTACCTTGGTACAGGTTTCCAATCTTCTTCCGCAACAACATTTAGTCTTTTTCAAACGACAAACTCGTTGCAGGTCAGCTCAATGTGGCCATTCTGCTCGCCAAAAGCACAGCCTTGAATATCCCCAAGTTGTCTCGGAAGGACGTTGGCCACTTGGTCTGACTCAGCCTTGGAGCTCTCCTCCCACGTCCGCGTCTCATCGTGCACCACGTTCATCATCGGCAAGAGAATTGCAACTTACGCCGACGTATTCGGTCTGCTCGCCCAAACATCTCTTTGACCAGTGCCTGGAGCAAGCGGACCTCAGTTTCGTGGTCTCCGACAGTGCCGGTGCTTAGCTCCATCCGAAGACCGTCGCACCCAGCCAAACCAAAGAGGTGCTCAGCTCGACATCCGCGATTTCGTATGTGTACGATACTCGAACGCGGAGAAGTCTACAGGGGGATGTCATCACGTAATGTGCGGGTTGGCTCGCGACGGTTGGTCAATCTTCCGCCTTTCTTCGGGTCTCCGCAGGCAATGCATCACGGCCCAGCGACCGCCTGAGGCGTTCAGCGCAGGAACCCGTTTATGTTCATTCTAGGCTGGTTTGAGGTTCCGAGACATGTTATTTGTTGATTCTGGGGGCGGAGCTAAAACGTGGGGACTTGGATGGTGTATATAAGAGGGTGGGAGTAATCGAGGTTGAGGAACAACTCACTTCGGTATCAACTTCATCTACAAGACACCAGTCAATCCAAGCAAAGTACCACCAACTGCTTCAATTCTTCAAAATGGCCCACAAGGAACTCAACAAGTAATTTCCCCAACGCGTCGATCGCATATAGTCCTGACATCTAGCAGTAAGGCAGACTTCGACGCTGCCCTCGCGACTAAGGACCGCTACGTCTTCATCTATGCCTATGAAGGCGCTATCCCACCACCAGCGACGGAGTACGAACCCTCATGGCCCCCAGTTCTACCAGCAGGGACTAACAGCTCTTCTCAGGAATGCCAAGAAGTTCGCCGACACCACCGATGCCTATTCTCTCGACGTCGGCAAACATCACATGGCCAAGGAACACTTCAAGGTCGAGAATGTCCCAACTGCGATTGTCTACAAGGATGGAAAGGAGCTCAGTCGTGTGGATAAGATGGGACCAGATGCAATGAAGGCTATTGAGGAGATCCTGAGCACTCCCATTGTTTAGAAAAAGCAAAGAGAGCAGACTGAAGGAAGCAGGAAAGAACAGTACGAAGGATTTGGTGTTGAGTGCTGATAGAAAATAGACTGGAAATTTATATGTATCGCGACACCCTTACCGATGAGGAAAGTCGTGAAGTCAAGCTTTCTCGTGCTTCGAGGGCTAGAAAATTGTGTTCCACCACGCCGGCACACCGTTGCATCCTGTCGTCACATGAAACACCCCTTTTACTGACTGCCGCCAACCGTCGTGCACAGGTCAGTCTCAGAAGCCGCAATCGCAATCGCAAATCCTCCTTTTTGAACGTGATTGCGATACTCCTTTTGCATTTAAACTCCCGCCCCGCCTCGCGCAAATCCTTAAGCTTATCAAGCTCCTGCCAACGCGATCGACAACCTCACTCCAGGGTCCAAATTTGCATGGCGATTGCTTGTTCCCTCTCCCACATACTCCTCCATATCCCTCCGCTCGCTGTTGCGTGAGACGGAGAAAGCGTCGCAGAATGACGCCGCTCATCCTGGGGGCTTGTTTCGTACTTAAATTAGACAAGAGTCTGGCCCCTACAAAACCAACAACAACCCACTATCGCGCATTTCTTGCATGACGGGTAACGCGCTGAACACGATGGTGGCTAACCGTAGATCGCTAGTCAGGCAGCCTGACAGCAGCTTCCGCAAGTGATCCTTTCAACCACTCACGGCTCGCATCGTGAACCGCACATGGTCTCCTATCAAAATCACGCTCGTATCCGGTAGTTCTGCATCAATTGCGTGAAGATAAGGCCCTGAAGACACCTTGGCACATGCTCCGATAGGATTGGGGCACATGCGGCGTAGTGCTTGGAAGCCTAGAAAAGGTTAGCGGATCTTGGGGATTTCTAGATGCGGGAATCAATTGGAAAGATCCAAAATGTTGGAAAGGCTTATTTCAGGCATGCAGGGCCACGTTAAGAGGGGGCTCAGGGTCTTCGAGGCTTGTTCATCTCTTGTGCTTTGCTTCTCTTCCCTTCTCTTCTTCTGTGCGCTGTTAACATTACAATTTGTCGTCGTCGGCGGTCGCGTCCGTTCGCTCACACTCTCGTTCATTGCTTAATACTTGTTGCTTTTGGATTCACGTCCCCCAAGCCGGTCGTTAATTTAATGTCCCCATCATGATCTACAAAGGCTACTCCCCCATAAAAATCTACAAGGGCTACACCCGCCCACGCCACTCGTTCACCACACTCATATTCTGCATATGTGTGTTTATAATCCTCTCACAGCTCTGGTCGCTATGGTCGCCTCCACACCACTATCTCTCGTACATTCCGAGTTCGTGGCAGTTCGATCCTGATTTGCATGCCAATTTGCACACGTTTAGTAATGAGCAGTGCGATATTGCGTTTCCGAGGTTGTATCATAGTTTGGAGGAAAATGTGAAGAGGAGGAAGGGGAAGAAGGTAGAGTTGGGGGACATTGAGATTAAGCAGGGGAGGTGCATGATAAGGGTTATGATCTATGAGGGAGAGGTATAGTACAACCGTTTCCATGAAATTCCATTCCACGATTCCCATAACACATAGAAACTTCTTCGAGGATCGTAAAACGACTATTTAATTGACTGGCTGACTGACTTGCCCCAGCTTTTCGTAATCGACTCCGGGCTCCCCGAGCGCTGCTATGTCACTAACGGCAACGAACGCGAACGCATCCTGGGTACCCTTGCCCAAATTGATCGCTCCCTAACCACGTCCTCTCCCTCCGACCCCTCAGTCCCCAACATCGAATTCTCTTTCTCCCTCGACGACCTCCCGCGCCGCTCCAACGCCCACGGCACCTTCTTTGGCTACACACGTCAAGATGGCCGCACTTACGACGACATCTGGCTGATGCCGAATTATGCGTACTGGAGCTGGAACTACACGCATGCGCCAAGCTGGAATAGCATTCGAAGGGAGATTGCCGAAACGGAAATGGCGCGGACGTGGGCGCAGAAGGATCCGAGGGTGGTGTGGAGGGGGAAAATCAAGATGGCGAGGTTGAGGGAGGAGTTGGTGAGGATCAGTAAAGGGAAGAGCTGGAGTGATGTTAAACCGGTGGTTATTAATAATGCGACGGATGAGAATAGCAAGGATGTTATGAATTTGAGGGAGTTTTGTGGGTATGTGGATTAGAGCATTTCATGTTTTCTGGGTGGAATGGATGGATGCTGCGCATTCGGAGGTTACAATCCAGTGGCAAGGCAAATGACAGAAGAGAGGTGACGATACTCTACCGAACAGCACTGACAGCCAACCTGCAGGTACAAATTCACCGTGCAAACCGAAGGAACATCCTATTCAGGCCGGCTGAAATACCTACAACTCTGTCGGTCAGCACTGATAACTCATCCGCTTCAGTGGCAGGAGTTCCACACACATCTAATGCAGCTTTCAGGCCCCGAAATCAACTTCATCGAGGCGTCAGACAATTTCGGGAACTTGGAGTCTGCCATGGAATATTATAAGAAACACGACGTCGAGGCGGAGGAGATTGCGCGGAATAGTTATGAGACTTTTGCGAGACGGTATTTGACGCCTGCTGCGGTACGCTACTCCTCTGCTTCCGACTTCCCATCCGCTTCCCGCCTACTTGCTGAGATGAGATGAGATGAGACTAGATTGGGCTGACGAGTTTGATAGGTAACATGTTACTGGCGCCGCCTATTTTGGAGCTGGGCTGCTGTCCAAGGCTTCGAGCCTAAGCTTTACGAAAGTGATAAAAAGGGGAATAACGTTATGCGCGGGACGCCATGGACTGCTTTTGCGGCGAATTGGCCGAAGGATCCTTCGAAAATACCCTGAATGGTGGGAGTACGAATGGTGGGAGTGAGGTAGACAATCATGGGACATTTAGACGATACCCTTAGATGAAACGATAAAAATAATATACATTGTTGAACTGACATCGTGCTTTCCATAGCTCTGTATGAACGTCTTTCGAGAATAAAAGTCGTGACGTGCTTGTCAGCATTCTTAGCGCTAGAACTACAAAGTAATGCGATCCTCAAACACACGGCTGGAATGCTGAAGGATCTTTGGTGTTGACATCTTCAGCTCTCACGCCTCCACCAATCAGATGCTACGCGTTTGTCATGTGGAGCCGCCAGTGGAACTGTGGGGTTGTGCCCCCTCGAACCACCCCGCAAAGCTGAAATGGGTAGTGCATGATCTTTGTTTGAAAGGTTTTTACTCCTTAGTCTAGTCAAAGCTCTATTATTATAACTATCAACTTCCGTACAGATCGCACAGTTATCAAGGAACCTGAGCGGTCCTTCGTTGTGGTTCGGCTTCTCCGACGCACCTATTCATTGTGTCACGACTTTGGGAGGCGAAAATCGTAGGGTAATTATTTCGACATTATTTGGGCAAGGCTTTCCTTTAGATTTCATGACGCCCATCTTCTTTCAAATTCTACCCTGACTTGATGTCCTTCCTGCAATCCTCCGATCACAATGCTACCATATCTCATTCTCGCATTGGTCATCCCGCAACCTGTCTTCTCAGCAACAACGACGTATCCACCAAGTCCAGCGCAGTCCACCATCAACATGTCCCCTTCTGAACTCTCGGCATCTCAAGCATCAGCACCAACGCTCTCCCCGACATCAAACATCCCGGGCAAAGCATTTAACCGCATCATCCAAATATGGCTCGAAAATACAGACTACGACGTCGCTGCAGGGAATGAAGACATGAAGTGGCTAGCAACCCAAGGAATTGCACTAACCAACTTTTGGGCCTTGACCCATCCAAGCCAGCCAAACTATCTTGCTGCAGTGGGAGGAGATTCGTTCGGAATGGATAGTGATGATTTCTACAGCTTACCTTCAAACATATCGACTATTGTCGACCTCCTGGATATGAAAGGGATTTCTTGGGGGAGCTATATGGAAGGGATGCCATATGCAGGGTTTCAGGGGGAGAAATATAGAAACCAGGAAAATGGCGCAGACAACTACGTTCGAAAGCATAATCCACTTATACTCTACGGCTCGGTAACAAGCAACGCAACGAGGCCAAGCCTCATCAAGAACTTCACGTCACTAGACGAAGATATCAGGGGAAACAAGATGCCGCAATGGTCCTTCCTAACCCCCAACATGACGAACGACGGCCACGACACTTCACTGCCCCACGCTGCAACCTGGGCTCGCTCCTTCCTGACTCCACTCCTAGCAAATACGTCATTCATCTCTAATTCCACTCTTATCCTCCTCACCTTCGACGAAAACCACCGCTATCCAATTCAAAACCACATCTTCACCATCCTTCTCGGCAATGCGATTCCCGATTCGCTCCACGGAACCGAAGACAACACGTTCTACACCCACTACTCCATTCTCAGCACTGTGCAAGCTAACTGGGGTCTACCGAGTCTAGGTCGCTGGGACTGCGGCGCTAATATCTTCTCCCTAGTATCTAACGCTACGGGCTATGTGAACTGGAATGTTGATCCCAAGAATTTGTACTTCAACACCACATACCCTGGTCCATTGTCCAAGCGCAGATATGTCCCCAATTGGCCGCGGCCAGAGACTCAAGAGGCTTGTGCGGCGGGGAATGGGGTCTGGGAGGGTGTAAAGAGGGTATGGGGGGATGGCAAGGGAGCGATGAATTATACGTGGCCTTATCCGGTAGATGAGATGAGTGGGAATAATGTGGGTGGAAGTGCGACAAAAGCGGGGCAGCCGAGTACGACGGGAACGGGAACGGCGACACCGAAGCCGAGTAAAACTGGCGCGGGAATTAGGGTTGATGTTGATATGTGGTTCTTAACCTTTGCGATTTTGGCGGTGATTCTCGGCTGTGCGTAAGGAGATCGAAAAGTTCATCGATTTTACGCTCGGAAGCATGTTGGATTCATGGGTATTGAGCAGAACCCTATTCCAAAAATACCAATACTCAGAATGGCCGTCATCCATCAACTCCCCTTCTCTGCCTTCCCACAAGGCTTAACTTCTTGGCTTCCTATACGTATCACATGGCAAAAACTTCCAAGAGCCCTGACGCTTCCAAGACGACATCCAATACACCACCCAAGCAGCTCCCCACGGCATCTTGGGCCAATCGTTTCCGCCCTGGGATGTTGAATCACAAAGCCGCACAGCCATTGGCAGAACAACAAATGGATTCTGATTAGCGGCCCCCTTTTCACAGTCCTGCTATACTTTAAGTAATTGAGAGAGACCTCTGAAGACACGCAGTTAAGCACTCACAGCGTACGAATCTTATCGCGAAGATGTTGACATAGGGGTTCCGCAAAATCTTACAGGAGCGTTTGAAGCCTTTTCCGTCATGCTCCACATGAGCCGTTTCTTCGCACCCCCATTAAACCTTTTCAGGCCTTCTGAAAAGAGTGATACTGTTCGAAGTTTCCATAGAAAGCGTTCGGCGACACTCCAGGAACAGCTTCGAAGCCTGAGAGCATCTGTAGCTCTTCGAGATTTTGGTGATGTAGGATCCAGGAGGAGAATGATGGAGAGAGGGAGAGAAGATCGGAGGCTTGTTGCGTGTTCGGGTTTATGTGTGGAGCTTGCAGGGAGAGTGCGTTGAGGTCCCGGATCATGGGGTTGTGGCCGAAGGCCATTTCGTTGGTGATGTGGTGGGCTGGGCGGTCGGACTAGAGAGGGCGGTGTGGGGTGGTTGGAAGCACGTGTATCTTCATTTATTGTCTATGTTTCTTTTTTCGTTAAATTTGTGGATATAAATAAGGCGTCATTGCTACGTCCCTTTGGCCTATCAGCCCATAGCATGGTTAGAGCCATGTCTGGATGTCGCGGGAGTCAGGGGTCCAAAAATTCGCGATACTTCTGGGTATGATATTCGTTCAGGTGCGAGCGCAGACGCTGAGATATATGGGGGTGCTGTGCCATCATCCCCACTGATTTTGATTCAGTTGGTCGGCTTGAAAGTGTTGAATACCCCACTATGTCGATTTAGGAATGTGTGCCTAGATTATACTGCACCCTCTCGGCTAACGTGAGGCGTAGCCTTGCTAGAGCCTATGTATGAAATCTCTTGATCTGTTATACCATTTGCTAGAATGATGGAGAACGTTAAAAGATGCTGTTGCCGTCTTGAATTACCCGCCGTAGTTTCCAATGACGGACAGCGTTTCCAACAGGAAGTAGTACGATTAATACTTTTGCTCCACCTACAATCACGTGAGGCAAACAAACGTAACTACATTTTTAACTGTTACAATTTAATTAATAAGGCTTAAAAGTAAGCAGTATATAATTAAGGTAGAATTTTTTAAGGTTGCAGTCTCTAACGCGCGTAAGGGCCAGGGGAGCGTGTTTGTGCCACTATTTACATGTCAGTGTAGCCTTAGAGCTTGCCCTGTACTACAACAACCTTTTAGACGACCTTATTATAGCAAAAGATGACAGTCCCTTGTATAGGGAACCTCTAGATTAGTGGCTCTAGGTTGGTTAGCGCGACTATCCTGTACTCTTTAAAATGGCACTTAATTTCCACAAGCTGCGACTGCAAGAGAGCCTTTAGCAAGAGGAAAAGAACAGTTACTATCTCTTAGGCTCTATAATTAAAGCTTTACAACTCTAGAAGAACTAGCTATATTATAAGGTTGTTTTTAGTAAATTAAATAACCTTACGTGCTATACTAAGAGTAAAGGAGACCCTACTACTCTAAAAGCTTTAACAGTTACGTTGTAACTTTTAGTAAAAAGTTAAGAAGTACAAGCAGCTTTAATTAAACTGTAACTTAATTGTATTAACCCCTGCTGTTAGGTGAAGCAAACAAAAGTATATGATAAGTGAGACGTAACTTGTCTAGAAAGCCTGAGTCGAATCGTACTACTTCCTGATGGAAACGCTGATGACGGACAGGATTGAGTACATAGAAGGACGTCAATTAAAAAATCATCTCCGAATACTTTAAAAGAGTTTTAGGCCAACGCGAGGATAAAGGTGTTATTAAAGCAAGCTTCGTAAACCGCACTTGCAGCTGCAGTTTCCGTCGCGTAGATCTGAGAATGCTGCCAGATTCACCATCGCTACCACTTCGGTAATAATTAGTGGGGACAATGGTTGCATGTGTTCCCAAGTCAATTTAAGCACTATAGAGAAGATCTTACCTATCATAATTCAAATATACGGATAATTTATCAACGTATTCTCAGTCCTTCTTTTTCATACAATATGGTCTCACTCCTTTTTATATCTTCCTAGCTTCTCTCTCGACTCTCTGCCTCCCCTAGCATTATTACGGTAACTGTGTAAAATGCGCGGCTCTGCCATAGAAATATCTTTTCAAACTCTACCACCCCCATTCAAACGCTCTTCGTAGTTACCTTCCCACCAATAACGCATGGGGGTGCTATTCTAGCCGAAATGCAAGAGCCACGGGGCGTAGAGGTATTGCGGTCTCCAGGCTACGTGCTGACTTTCTGCAACGGGACACATCTGTGATACTTGTTCCTGTAAGATCTCGCGATGGTGAGCCATGAATTCCCCCGGCTGTTTGCCAATGTGTCCATCGAAGCCACTCGCGTAAGTCATCTGTGGCAGAGATTTGTCTAGAGTCGTGGGGGGATTTATCCCTGGGTTATTTTTCTGCAGGGGGGAGATGGCAGATCTTCTTTCCCGGCCCAGCTGTTTGACAGAGGCTGATGCTCAACTGATGATCATGCGTCTTACTTTTTCTAGGCCACTATTCGAATAGAGAGGTTCTTGAGCATGGAGAAGATGGCACCGGGAGATGGTACAGGGCTTCTTTCTCCGGGTGCTGGCATACATCTGCACCCTATGTTAAGAGTTCTTAATAACCCAGCTCTTTAGCCGCCATACTAGTGCAGTAGGTTGGTTGGACATTGCATGGTTGTTTGGATGAGAACCGGAACGAAAGTGCCTAGGATTGCGTTAGGTATCGAGGTTGACGCTATCGTTTAAGGCATTTTTCAGAGTCATCATCCATCGTTTGGTTCACTACGTCGTTATTCTGAAATGCAGACGCTCTCTAAACTCTGTGAGATCTTCTTTGTTTGCTTTACAGGTACTATTCCCGGCTCTCTCAGAGAGTTTTGAAATGGCTTGATGTTGCATAAACCAAATTTCCTCTCTTGGAGGTTATTTCAGTTCGAAGAATAAGGCATCCACTTCTAATTGAGAATACGGAGACTGCAAACTCTACTTTACAGGATTGCTTAAGGGTCGCTGTCAACAATTGTGGTCTTATTGGAAGCTACATGGAGCAGGGCTTCCAACGGGCCGTACTACGGTCCGTACAAAGTGAACCGTAACGGTCACGTGTTCAGTACGAACCTACCGAGTTCGTGAGCCGTACTGTACGTTTAATAATGCCCTAGGTACAGTACATAGTACAGATTGTATTACCCTTTTAGGAAGTTTATATAGGGGTTCTAGAGGGGTAGGAGGGCTCTAGCAAGCAGGAGGCCTACAGACACTTAAATCTCTTTCTAAGGGTTTTAATCTATCCATCTGTCTGTTGTCTTAAAAATGCCTATTTTAGACTATTTTCTATTGCAGAGTTATCTATCCACGCCTCTTACTGCCTTACAGGCCTTATCTAGTCCTATCTGCTCTTGTTACTAGGGAGAACTAGTTATTTTATAGTTAACTAGACCTTAATCTTGCGTCTCTAAAGACCTATAGTCTTAGCTGTTTTAACTAGAGTACAGCGTACTTTAATTAAATTGTACTACTTGTACAGATTACGTGAGCTGTAACAGTTATAATACGTACACCTACCTCTCCTCCTTCCTGTTGTACGAACGTACACAAAATCTCACCTGTACAGGCCTCAAAATCGCCCAATTGTACAGTACTACGCCTCGTTGGAAGCCCTGACATGGAGGATAGATTCCAGCTCTAGTAGCTGTCAAGCGAAAGAAGGCAATTTCTAGAAGACTTCAACATAGTGCTGGTTCGGTGTGAGGAATCGTGAACGGTCGCGCGTGCATGGAAGTTGTAATGTAAATAGAGATCCTGCGTGCTTTAAGGGGCTAGAGGAATGCGAAAGCGCGATATTTCAATATGAGATTGCGGGTACAAAACGACAGACGAAATGAATGAACAAATTCCGAGGGCTTGCAGAGATTGCCTCTCTTGGTTACTGAAAAAAAAAAAACCAAAGCTACTTTCTGATATGCATGCCAACAACGTCATACATACTGTCCCTCTTTCACAAGTCTCACAGCTATTCCAGCATCCGTAAACACAATATAACCCACATCACTAAGTCTGACCTGTAAATTGCGCAATAACTTCGCCCTCTCCATACCATCAAGTGCGCTGCCACCCTGTGGTACACGTATATAGGGATTATCACTAGCCAAACTGGAGCAATAGCCAAGGACATCAGGTCCGACGGCACGGTGATTGAATAGCATACCAACTACTGCGGGGAGTGGCATGGTCGCGGAAGTGAAGACATACATGGCGAGATAGGCCCGGTGGCAGACATACTCCTCCTGGAGGATCACATGGACTCCCGAGATGGAGATATTTTCCGCGAGCGCGGACGTAGACGTGCCGACCATACTGTAAGGCTGCAGGCTGCCGAGGTAGTAAGTGTTGAGCAGCTGGGCAAGGCGTAGCTCCAGGAGGTCCTTCGGGATAGTGGAGAGGTTGATACTGCCGGCTGTGAAGCCAGCGACGGCGCGGCAAAAAAGAGATGCTGGGTTAGCTATGTAGCACTCGGTGGCGGAGGAGTATATCAGGGACTTCTTATAGGAACCCGTTGCGGTGGGGAAATATTGCGAGAAATTTGAAAGAAATAGGGAAAGCTAAGTGTGGTGATGTTCAACGATGCATGCGGCCGTAGGCTTTGGCGAATGGCGACAACGCTGCAGTTTGTTCTGGAACAGGAGACGTTTGACTCTACGTATTGTTGCGTGATATGACAGAAGGCTACTGTTGAATTCCGCGGGTCTTCGCCTAAGCCGAATATTGGTGAGTGGAAGAGCAGGGAATGGCGAAATTCGGAGACATCGGTGTTAGTTATTAGGGATGTTTTCAATGCCATCCTAGAAAGCAGCATGGGTCGCTATATCTTCTAGTAAAACCCCATCCAGTGCGATAGAGAATGAGTCGTCTTAACTCGCGAACCAAAAAGTCTTATTCTTTCTGTTCTCTAATTGGAGGGGCCACGATTGACTGATATTGTAGCAATCTAATTCAAGGTAAGTCGTCTCCACTGCAAAGGTGGTATTTCCAACCTCAAAGATATTAAGGGTGGGGATACCAAGTAGAGAAGAATACGGAACGCCGTTTCGTGGTACAGCTCAATTTGAACACATCAATAAGGAACCACGTCACCTAGAACGGTATTGCTACCTCCATCTTGAGGCGTTGGTTAATCGAATAGAACATGGAGGCGGTATCTCTGGGACGCCTGGGAGCTAGCTTCAAGTAGGAAAGAGACGGATTCACAAGACCTCAATTAGAAACGAACGAAAATATATCGTGAGTAATAGACAGTGGACATTTAAGTCATGCCGATAAGCTTAGGTATTGCCCACCGGAAATCCCATTCCATTCCCAGAGGCTCAAACTCCCCCAAAAAACCCACAAGACACCCCCCGTGATCCTCTATACTCCGTTCACCCTCGCCACGGGCAAAGTCTTCGTACACTCACTTAAATCATCTAAATTATCTACCCCCAATAAGCTCATCCGCACATATGCCTTTGCATAATCTTCATTCCAATGCGGCTGATTCCCCACAAACGCGTTCCATTCATCAGTGATCTTCGGGTGCGTCGATAATGCTTTATCACTCGGCAGCACGAATATTCTGCTATCTGGGGGATTCTCCAACGTCTCGTTGTAGAAATTGACGTCCCACACACCTGGGGTTGTGTCGAGGGGAAAATTGGCTTTGGAAGGGTCGACGAATCGCTGTTTTGCGGAGGAATGGGCGCCGACCAGAGCGGCGAGGTCGTGGGCTGAGAATCCTTTGTTTTGGAAGAGTGTAATCAGGTTGTCGGCGGAATCACGGGTGTCTGGTAGAAGACCGGTTGGTGCAGCTTTAGTGGCGTCTTTGCGGCCGATGAATGTTCGAATGCGGGGACCCTTTGGGCAAGTAACTGTGGCGTGGTTGTGTGCGTATTGCGCGAGATCTGCGTAGCCAACTTTATACTTGGCTTGCACAGTTCGCAGGATGTTTCGGATGCTCTGGAGTCCGTTGTTCTCAGGACGATCTTGCTCGCCGAAATCCATTAAGAGGGAACCGTCAGCGCCGCCATTGAGCGAGTTTTTGTCCCAGGAACCTGCGTCGTGGAAACCCATACGGACGGCTGCGCGGGCGTTGTCGTTGCATTGGCTGTCGGGGCCTTTAAATCGCGATGTGAGGTCTGCAGATACGTCCCACCCTGAATTAATATTAGTGGAAATCTCAAATGGTAGGAAGATACTGTAGGGTCACTTACAAACACAGCATTCGTCGAGGGATGGTAAACAGATTAAGGGTTTGGAGGACAGCTCTCCAGATTGTCCTGATGTGATCCCATTTAGGATGTCTTTGATGAGCTGTCCAATCGGGGAAAGAACGCCTTTTAAGAGGTCGTCGATTAGGCCTGGGGCGGGAGAGCGTTGCTTTACAGGAGAGGCAATAGCTAAATAAACCACTGACAGTAGAGGCAACGCTAGTACGAATTTGCGGAACATAGTTGTTGGGGCAATGAACATGCGGAGCAGAGTTGCTCGCGAATGAAGCCGACTGCTCGTCGCTGAAATGAATAATGGCCGGATGTTGCTAGGGTAGCAAGGGGAATAAATGACTCTATTTTATATATTTCAAGATGATCCCTTTCCTCCACACTTCCAAGTTCACCCCATTCCCACTTTGACTGCTGCGGGAGCTCCTACCAGGGTCTGTCAGACTGCCAAAACATCCAACCGTCCCAGAAAAGGTGTGGTCGATAGATATTGGTGAGCCTAGGAGACCCTTAGAGCAAAGATCGCCATACCATTACCTCTCGAGTCTGTAGTTAGCTGCTGCAACTACAGCTTAAGTGGAAGTTCGACTCTGGATAGGCCTGTCAAGCCACGAAGATCGAAGGAAGATCATCCAGGAATATGATAGCGTTCCCAGTGACTTAGCCCAAGCGTTGAATTCTGTGCATTGCGAGATATCAGCTGCATTGCTCACACTCCTTCGACCAGGAGACCAACTGACACATCCTATAGACCTGAGAGTTTTGGTTGGACAAAATGTAATAGCAAGGCCTCGCGCGCTCGTATTCAGGATGCATTCAGCTAACCTAGAAAACCTGTTTGCCAAATCAGCCACTTTTTTCTGGGGATCTTCATCGATTCTACTGGGAGAGGAAAACATCGTGGGATGCCCAGATCACACAAGACTATCGGTTATATCCTTGGCTTCCGAGTACGGCGGACTGTTAGCTGGTGAAGGGAAAAAACTAATCGCTAATTGCTTAGGAGCATTTTAGGTATAAAACACTATAGTATTTTACTAGGCAAAACATACTATAACGCATTTGTATAATGTTTTTTAAAGATCTAAGGAGTGAAGGGTTGTTTTACGTAACTGTATTGCAACTGCTCTTTATAGTGACTGCCTTCACTACAGCGTTGTACAATAATTGTAGATACTCACCGCCACCACTACTCTTCCACATCTACTACTACTACAGCAGTAGCAGCAACAACAACAGTAACAATAGCAATAACAGTAGCAACAGCAACAGCAGCAGCAGCAGCAACAATAATAATAACAATAATAATGTAAGCATTAAGCTTATAGTATTTTAATTACTTTTGTTATATAAAGCTAACACTTAAAATAGAGCTTTTATTTTTTATAATGCTGCTATTACTGCTGCTAACTAAGCTAGCGCTAATGTTAATCCTGTCCTACATGTAGGACAGCAGCAGCTAGCTCTACTAGCTTATAGTCTATAGGCCTGTGCATTGCTAGCTTTTTTAGGGCAGGATGTAGAGTTTATATATAGCAGTATATCCCTTTATTAAATAGCTTTACATAGGCCTTTATATATTAACGCTATTCTTATACAATCTTGCAGAAGGGCAGTGGACAACCTGTGCAGCGCATGCTATGGCGCTGTCTCAGGCCCACAACTGTTCCTAGAGTGCTGCTGCGCTAAGGGGCACTTTAGCAGAGCATGTAGCAATTATAAATAGCGTAACTATGCTAGTTACTGCTTTATAAAAGAAAAGGGTAATAATAAGCTAGCTAGTAAACCTTTATGTTTAGGCTATAACCTAGGGATTAGTAGTGCTAGTAATAGTTTATAGTAGTAGCTTATTCTTATTAAGAATAAACTTACTAGGGCTTTAGCTAATAATATAATAGTTTTAGCTTAAAGTATGTATAATATTTCTTTTAAAAGTAGTAAAGCGCCCTAGCTATAAGAGTTATCTATAGCACCTAGCTATGTAGAGATGTCTATAGCACTTAGTTAAGGCCTGTACCTCTGCGCAGTAACTAGGATAAGTAGCTGTTAAACAGTAAAACTAAACTAGGCTAGTAAATAAAAAAAATAAATTAAATTATTATATAAAACATACTACTTTTTAATACTATAAAGCTAATAGGGCACTTAAGAATTAATATTAAATAGCTAAGATAGTGCCTATTTATAATTATATAAAAGCATTTTTTTATTTTTTTTATTTTTAATAAAGCTTAATTTTTACTTAACTTTTTTTTTTTTTACTAGCTTTTTTTTCTTCTTAACCTTAGTCTACTTAGTAGAGGGTTTATATAAAAAGATTTTATTCTAAGCTACTATAGTTACCTTATATACTAAGTATAAAGTTGTGCTTTAGTTGCCTTTTTTAAAGTATCTACTTTTTAGCAAGTTTTTAATTATATAATAATTTTTAGCACTTTTTAAAAGATGTGTAATATAATCTTTACTAATATTTATAATAAAATATAGTTTAGAATAGCCTTTAGTAATTAAAAAATTAAATTATATAAGCTTTTTAAAAAGGCTATTTTTAACAAACTTAGTATAGCTTATAAAAGGTGTGTTCTAAAGCTATATCTAGGTCTAATCTACTATGTATTAAATATTAGCTAATATATAAGAGGGTATTATATATAGCTGTTTAATACTATTAATTTACTTACACTTATTAATTACTTTATATTATATAAAGCAGAGGATTACAAGAATAGAAAGCTTAGCTATTATATAGCTTTAAATAAAAAGTAAAGATGTACACTAGATTAACTGCTAACATGCTAATTCTGCTAGTGTACATAAAGTAGCTTATATAAAAAAGATAAACATTTTTTTTTTACACTTTTAAGTGTATTTTTTAGACAAATTATCTCTTCTTTGTTTTATATAATTTATATAGGTGTAAGAAGTTAAATTTAAACACTATAGTCTAAATAAAACTTATATTTAGTAGACTACTTACTATAAGACTGTTTTATAGTAGAATAAAACTTATCTTAGGCACTTATAGTAATAATAGATTATATATTATATAAGAAAAAGAACTAAAAAAAGAACTAAAAAAGAAACTATAAAAAATTTAAATATACTATAAAAAAAATAAAAGCTTAGTTACTGCATCTATATAAATTTACTAAGCTAGATTAGGATTAATAGGCATCTTTTTACTAAAGTTAGTTTTAAGATTAACATTTTAAACTATGTTTTAATTACTCTAGTTAAATTAAATACTTTTATATTAAGTATATTATATAAAACTTTACTTACTAATTTTACACTCTAATAAGTAACTTAAGTAGAGATAGTATAGGCTAAAGACTATTTTAGATATAGTATTATGCTTTTACTTAAAGCTAAAGATAAACATCTAAATATAGTGTTGTATAATCTTAAAAGTTAAAGTAAGCTGTAGCTACGCTGTTAAATCTAAGCAAATCTAGTACCTTATTACACTACTAAAGCATATTTTATAGGAGGTAGGCATTTATATTCTAACTATTAACTCTTCTTTTAATTATATAAAGCTAATTAGCATTAAATAAAAGAGCCTAGTTTTAGACATAAGCTTTAAAATAGTAATAAAGTATAAAAGGCTTTTTAACTACATTATTTAGACAGTTTTTTTGCCTTTAAATTAAATATGTGTTTTATAGTTATATAAAGCTATATAGTTTCTTATAAAGTATAAAAATATATATAGCATAAATAGTAAGCTAATTAGCTAAGCTATTTTTTAAAAAGAAGCCTTAAGTTTAAAAGTAGTAAAAGTAATTCTACTTAAAGTAAAATAAAGTAATAAGTATTATATAAAATACTAACTTACTAATAAAAAAAAAAGCTTTTTAAAAGTTACTACTACTAAGCTTTAATTTACTAATTTAATATACTTATGCTATAAAGGTAGCACTAATTAAATAAAAGCTTAGGCTTTATAAATTTTTAAAGCTAGTAATAAGTATTTACTAGCATAACTATCTTTATTTTTTAATTAGATTATATAAAATGTAGTTGCTGCTTTATTTCTTTAAGTGTCTTAAGAAACTAGTAAAGGCAGCTAATAGTAGTGTAGGCAGAGATTCTAACATAAATCTATATAATGTATTGTAAGTACACGTTAATACATGCATAGATCTCTACGCTGTACAGTTTTAGCTTACTATAGCTATTAATAGACTAGATAAAGTTTAGGCTAGGAATAATATACTCTTTATAGTGTTGCTGCAGGTTGCGCTTGCAGCGCTCTACTACTTTATAGTTTATTATATAATAAATATAAAATAACTAGTCCTGTGCAATAATATAGCTATATTAATAAAAGTGTATATAAAGATACTTTTACTTATACTTATTAATAACACCTTTTTTTAGCTTTTAACTAATAAGTTATTATATAAGCTTATCTACTTACTAGCTTTATTTAACACTTTATACTTTTTTATGTAATCTAAGCTTAAATTAAAGTTATATAAGTGTATATTTTCTAATTTAGAAGCTTTTATTATGTAGTACATAAAGTATATCTAAATTTTTAAGCCTAATTTTAAAAAACAGCACTTAGATTTAATTTTTAACTCTATTTTTAACCTTAGTAAAAAGGTGTTACTTTACATTTTATGTTTAAAACTACTGCTTAATTATATAAAAAGTAACATAGACTTAAAACTCTTTAAGAAAGTAAGTAGCTATTTATATGTATGTAATACCTTTATAAAAAAGCCTAAGTAGATAGAGTTAGTATAGTTTAAAGTTAATCTTAGGACGTCCTCCTACGTTGCTACTATATTAGTAAGCACTTGTACAATGTAACTATTTAGAAGACGCTTACTAGGCATTATAAAATTAACATGTATAAACGTGTATAAAATAATTATAAAGTTGTAAGTAGCTAAAGGCTATAATTACATGCAGGGTAAAGAATTTTTAAATTGGCGATTAGTTTTTTCCCTTCACCAGCTAACAGTCCGCCGTATCCGAGATCACCATGCCTGACCCTGGGCCCTGGAATCTGGAGCCCCGCACTCTCATAAGTAGCAGAGAATAAATAGCAAGCTAACTACGCCAATTTTCACATAGTATAGGTAGACTGTAGCACTTCTCAAAAGGGTCCTAGAGTATCCTACTCTACAGACAAATCTCATGATTAAGAGCAGAATCTGGGAGTTACATTTTTTGGCAACGAAGATGGGAGCCTTGACGATTTCCCGCCAGTGGAAGAGCTACCAGAGCGCGGGGAGCCGGCCAAGCTGCCAGGGGTCTGGTATCCCATGCCAGGGCTTCAAATACCCTCTTCTGGATTGGAGCAGACAATTTTTGACTACTAAGAAGGCAGACAAGAATGTCTTCTGAGATTGTCGACCTTATGCTCTTGCCGTCTTCGTGAGCACTTTTGGCGACTGAGCCACAGATTTTCTTGGCGCACGATTTCTCAGCTTGTGATATCGCCCTATTATAGTAGTTTGGGTGATTGCGATTGCTTGGCTGTTAGGGAGTAATATTTCTCTGCATTTAGGCGCAGCAGTGGAGCTGCTAGATGCCTATGGAAAGGCTTCGATTGGGCAAAACTGAACAGGAAACAGTGACAGCAAAAGTAGATATTGGGCGGAGGGGGGACTGGGCGTCGCTCTACAACACTTACAAGGACGAGGAGCTTGGGGATTGTGGCGGGCTTGATGCCACAGCAGCGGCAAGAGCAGCCTCTAAGACGCCGCTTTCGTCGGTGGAGGGGTAAATTCTACTTCCGGCGAGGCGGGCTATCATACGGAAGGCTTCGGAATTTGATGGGTGGAGAAGCTGTTTGCAGACGGCAAACGCGGACTTTCAACTTGGCAAATCCGAGCGTTTCGAACAGTGAGGAGTTAGTTGGTGTGGTTATGAACCGGTTATTAGATCACGGTTGAGTTCCAAATGTATCTTGGCCTTCCCATCACATCATCCATCACTAGTATCCACCGCGAGCTCCTATTCCATTGCAGCTAGACAATACTTTGCATACGTTGTCGACCGTCCCGGAATTTCACAAACTTTCAATGCTCCCCTATGTAAGGTGCTGAGAAAAATTGAGTCATGTATGCGCAACCTCGGGCCAAAAATGCTCTTTAATATATCCCGAAATAGATGGCACGATCCCACGCTGTGACACTGGCTGGCTGCGATAGTTCGGTGGAGGAAGTGTACGGTGTGACGGACGAGAATAAGTATAGATCTGCGGGAATAGGGAAGAGGAGGAACTATGCTATAGCGGGATGGGATGTGATAAAGACAATACCTGCTGGTTTGTGCATCGAAATGGGATCCAGCTTGAGAGCGCCACCATGGTCACAAAACTTAATATGTGGAAGGAGAAGCTCGGAAGGGCGCAAATTTCATCCCAGGACTGTCCAGACAAAATAATGAGACAGGTGAGGAAAGTAATGCAAGTGGGGTATACAACTGTTGAATTCATCAGGTGGACCTGCTTAGTGTGCCTTTTAAACAAAGAGGCTAATTTGCCACAAAGAATGGAAAACAACCCTACATTAGCCATCCTAGCTCTACAGCAGGCTGACAGAGTGAGTCACCGATTCCATCACCGTCTTCCTCATCTTCCATTTCCATATAGTTCGGCTTTGGGAGGCCTCGGATCCGAGCGCCTCCTCCATTCGTATACTCATCCAAACACTTCACTGCGAGACGTCCTCGAAATCGGTTGTGTTAACTATACCAGGCTGTATCCAGGCTTCATTCAACCAACCGTTAGAAAACTCCAGGTTGCCCAGTCCTTATAGGATCACGTCCATTTCATCTCGCGCTGGTGGCCGTTGTCGCCAGGGCCGAGGTCAAAGATTGAGTAATGCCATAGTGACCGACATCCCTAGATCTCTAAAGGAAAAGCAAGTTTGTTGAGGATTGTGGGATCAACTTGGACGACTGGTAATGCCAGCTTGGAAAGTATGCTTATTCGATGAAAACCCTCGAAATAACTAGGCCGTAGTTCTAGGAAGATCGTTCTGAGACCTGTCGCTTTCAGCACACTTCGATAGATTGCCTTGTAGCCTGGTCCCTAAATGCAGCCATGTGCTAGGAATTTGTGCTGCCCTATATTTAGCAAATCTGGGACCTACTAGGCCAGGACTTCGTGTTCGCACGCTGGCACCCGTGCGTCCATGATTGCAATATGGACGTCTTTATCACCCCTAACAGCTAGCCACTCGGCATAGCAAAGCGTTCAATGGAGCGATGAGGCACATGAGCTAAACTCAGTCAGGCCAAGCTACTACCTAGTAGTACCTGTACCTCTGTATATATTATGGCTGCCCTAAAAGCTCCATTATCAAACAACACACTTCCGCTGCACCAACACCTAAACTTACAGAGAAAGCAAAGTACGAAAGGGGGCTCGGTGCGGATCCTGGCTTTAGAGATATGAGCAGTAGTGAGAGGATTTGGCATAATGGAAAATGCAGAGTTGTGTCTGGATTGTCATAGAAACATAAACGAATAGCCGTAGATAGTACGTAAGGTAAGTGTAAGCCGGAGGGCTCTACGATGGGCTTCCCAATCAACCTTGGGTTCGGCGTCCCACGATACTATATAAATCACATAGCTTTTCGGACCCTCAGTCCACAATACAGAATTCCTATTAGATCGTGCCCCCTATAAGGCTACAGTAAGATTATTAGATATTCTTCTAATTGTTGAATAGTCAGCTGAGGGCAGACAACTGGACGAGAAATGGGGAAATCCCGTACCCATCGCGATTGCGAGAGAAGGAAGCGTGCCAGTGTCGATGGCTGAAAGCATGCCGTATGGCGGGAGAAGTGCAGTGAAAGAGAGGTGGTGGATGAGAGAACCGAGGAAGTGGTAAGGGTGACTTCGCGTTGTTCACGCGCCTAAAATCCGACGCTAAAGCCAGTCCGAGCTGCGGCTTTCTCCATCACTTTCATCCTCCATACTGACATCACGTCCCCCCTTCCTTCCACTCTTCCTCGTTCCGTTTTCAACCTTCAGCCTATGTTCTTTTGACTGTGCCTTGGCTTTTCGGCAACGACTTATTTCGCCATCCCGACTCCGACTTCCCACACGCCCCATCTCATCTTGTGGTCGGTTCCGGCAGCCGACCCAAAATGCCCCTCGGTTTCGAGCGTCTCAACGAGCGCACTCAACGACCTAATGCGCTCATCAACTTCATCAAGCCGCTCCCTGGCCTGACCTCCCCAACGGCCGAAGCCATCCTCAACCGCGTCGCCGCAATCTGCTACCCCTTCATGAAAAAGCACATGATCCTAGTCCAAGCCCTCGAAGAATTCCCCTTCAACAACGAATTCGTCGGCCGCAACTTTAACGCTGGAGAAGTCATACAACTAGTGCTGAGAAATCGAAAGGGTGAATGGCTGCCCGATAGGTGCGTTATGATGGTCATGGTGCATGAGCTGGCGCATTGCAAGCATATGAATCACTCGAAGGCTTTTTGGAAGGTGAAGGATATGTATGCAGCGGATTTGAGAGAGCTATGGATGAAGGGGTATACGGGGGAGGGGTTGTGGGGAAGGGGGCGGGACTTGGCGTCTGGGAGTTTGCTGAGGGGAAGTGTGGGCGTAGCGGATATGCCGGAGCATCTTTGTGGTGGGACGTACCAGAGCAGGAGGAAGAAGAGGAGGCGAGTTGGCAAAGAGAAAGAGACATTGACCTATGCCGAGAAGAAGCAAAGGCGTATATTGAAGAAGTTCGGTACAGGCGGACAAGCCCTCGGAGCGGATGACGATACGAAGATTAAGCTGGAGGGCGGCGTGACGAAGAAGGGAAAACCAAGGGTCGCTGGGAGTCAGCGCGGTAGAGAACTCAGAGTTGCAGCTGCGCTCGAGCGATTCGGCGCCGCGAAGAAACAAGAACCCGAGGTCAAGAAAGAAGAAGTAGGCTCCGAGAGCGAGACGGAAGGCGAGTACGAAGGGATGGGCGAGAATGAAGCTGCCGTCGATGTCGATGGGAAGAGGATGGTCGACGAGAAGGGGCACGCGTTGGTGAAGGTTTGCGAAGATGAGGACGAAAACGATGATCATGCCATGAAGGAAATGGAGGAAATACAGGGATTCCAGAAGCAGATCGATGCACTGAGGGTGTCCAACTCACAACCAGAATTTCGAAGGAGACCTCTACGGGAGACGACTAAAACGACATTCGCACCCAAGGGGACGGCTGCGAAGCCTCTAGCAACAAACACTAGGGACCTCACCCCCCCATCTAAACGCTCTTCTTCGGTGCATGTCATCCACCTGGACGAGATCCACAAGCGCCGACCTGATAGTAATCTTTTAAGTAACTCCACAGATCATCGTTGCGAGCGGCTCGAGACTCAAGTGGACTGCCCAATCTGCTCTCTTGTCAACGAGGCTGGATCACTTACTTGTGCAGTGTGCTCCAACGTTCTGAACCCACATCTGGTGCCCAATAACTGGAAGTGTAAGAGCACAACGTGCGAAGGTAACGAGTACACCAACTCAGGTGATGCTGGTGTCTGTGGTGTGTGTGGTTCTTCAAGGTCCGCAGTTTCCTGAGGCTTTGCAGAAAATGGCGTGCAGAGGTGTTGCTTGACTGATGACTTGACGGATATTGATACCCCTTTCTCCAAATGATGTCCTTACCTACTCGGTAGTAGAATTGTCTAAGGCATATATATTGCTAGAGGAATCTGTGATGAGTATGTATCATGTCACATGAAGCATTCATCAACCAAGGTTTAAACTTTTCAACACCCACATCCACAAAATCCTCAATAATATATAAATCTCCGGCCCACCGCCCTCTCGGACGTAGGACCTATTCACCACCCCCTCCCTGTCTATCAATTTTACAACGAAATGCAATACCTTCAAGACGACCACTTACAGTACCTGTTCATGCACCCGAGCCAGTGTGTCCCAGACAGGAAATTGTCAATCTTTGCAGCGAAAAACGTCACGATTACTGAGTACCTCACCTACCCTCTCACCATTGTCTTCCGAGCCACTTATCGCCTCATCTTCTGCTCCTCAAAGTACTCAGAAAACTTGACAGCCCGCGAAGTATAAACTAATCCGCTCGTGCACCTCCCTATCCAGCCTAGCGCACCTGCAACATTGCGGGTGCCAAGATCTGGAGCCGGGGCCCAAGCTTCAACAATCGTCACCTCCTCGGCCAACGAACAACAAACCACGCGACATCCTCACAATCTCGCCACTACCCACAATTCCGGCAATCCACTCCCTACAAACTGAAATCCTGCATAGGGCCCGCGATATCGAAACAAAGAGTTTGTATAAGCCATTGAGGAGAATGGTGTCGCGCATTCTAGTTCCGGCTGCCCGGACAGCGGCAGCAGCACGCAGCGGATTGACCATGAGGAGCATAGTGAGGGGCTTTCAGACATCGAATGTAGTGAGGCAGGAAGCGGCGACTGTGGTAGCGCCGGTGAAGAAGCCGGTTGGGGCATTTCGAGGAGGGTGAGTCGAACACCCCGTCTTCTTCTTGTCTCTCGCTTTTTCGGGGCAGCTGGGTTCAACAGTTTGGGGAATACTGAATTGTGCTCCGCTGCGCTGCACTGAAACAGGAGCGGTGATTGTTTCTGGATATATGGAATGGCTAATGCGTGCTGGCGATTACAGACTCTTCGGCTTCTTGCTCGGTGCCACCGCTTCCGGCGCCGGAATGTACTACTATGTCATCGACGAATACCGCGTTTCGAATGAATTGCTGACGGAAGATATTTATGTACGTCTACCTAGCTCGACCCAGCTCTCTATCATTTCAATCCAGCACTTTCCTCCGCCATATGGGATATACTCTACTAGATCTAGGATTCTGGTCAACTCTCAGGCGTTCACTGATAATGGAATAGGCTCTCCAAACTGCGGTACAACGGATAGAAGGTTATGTGAGGACATTGGAGGAGAAGGTTCATTCGAAAAAGAAATGAGCGACAAATTAACAACATATTGTGTGGTCACAAGGCATAGCATGACATGAAACAAGCATCAGGGTTGGTCGGTCACGCAGCCGTGGGTGGAACGGATACACGGCATGAATATGCAAGCAAGCTGCGAACGGAATGGAATGGAAAGGAATGGGGGTGCAGATGGAGGAACTGTATTATCTTAGGTACTTGATTGCCCAGCTCACTCTGGTTTGCATGCATTTGCTGAGTTATACCAATGTATTCTGTTTCTGAGTTCAATACTAACACCTTTTTGTTATGTGAGGACTTTCATATCAACCACTCGCCAATCTTACGCTTCCGAAGGGCTAGCTATGCCGAAGCCTTGTTTATCTAAGGCTAGGGCATCCATGACGCGAGTGCAGTAGATCTCGGGAGGTATTTTCCTACAGGAATCATCTAATTCCGCGGCACAGTGCGGTGGGTCGCACCTTCTGCGCTGGAAGTCGCTCCTGCCATTCGTGCCAGATATAGCTAAGCGCACGCAAATTCTTCTTTGGCTTTCTAATCGCTTCCTTCTCTTTCCTCCGTCACTTCCCTCCTCTTCCAGATTCCTACCGAGCTGTTTTTCCGTGTCTTTCGTGAAAACCTGGAAGCAAATATGCATATCTCTCTTCATCACCGACTGACTTCGTTCGATACCAAGGTTGATTCTATTCAACTAGACCACACTTAGCTCCTGCACAGGATGGCCAGTTGTGTATATCGGCAAAATGCTTGTCTTTACTCGGAATCGTGAATGATGAGATCTGAATTGCCGTGGGAAAGAGTAGAAGCCTCGAAAAACACGCTGAGGCATGCATAAACCTGTAATATTTTTGAAAGAAAAAGCGGTAAGGCCTCTAAGCCTATGTCTCTCCCTAGATTGTGGACTCCTGAGCTTTCCTTGTTGGGATCCGAGTGCGGGCCGCTGCAGGTTTCCATTCCGCAACGAAGAATCTGCAGTCTCAGAATGAGATACGTCAGCGTTGGAGTTCAGCTCACAGCCGAGTGGCCGCTCGTTCTTCTCCTGCCACTATTCCTTTTCTCTCTCGCCTCTCTCTGTGAAGCTAAGAGGAGCACGAGGGGCATGAGGAACTGGATTGATTGCTAAAGGAGTGTACCTAGGGGGTCTATATATATGCAAGAAAAGGGGTAAGTCTTGGCAACATGAGAACCATCCGTGAGCCATGCGTGAGACCCATGCGTGACTACTGCAAACACTCTCCTTCATCCCTTTCGCTGCCGAATGAAGTCAGCAACCAACTTTCATTATGAAGTCTAGGAGCACTACGCCACAGACGGCCGAGCCCTCTAGCAACGCGAAGATCAAAGTCGAAGCAGGAATCAAAATTGAGGGGGAAACGAAAACGTTAACACTGCTGGGGTGAAGAGCGAGCCTCCCACCTATTTGATAGTCTTGCCTTTACCAGCAAATGACGTTTTGTAGTTACAGGTTCCCTTCCGATCCATTTGCCTAAATCAATCCCTCTAGGGCCGGCAGCTCACTCCATTCTATGCAAGAGCCTCGAAGTAACTATACACCACTAACGACAAGATGTCGAAGGCCTGTTTTCAAATATTGAGCCGTCAGTGTTTATCATCTTCTAGGCCCGTCCGGAATGAGTAGGTGCCTTCCTATAGTTTCAAACGAAGGTTTATTTATTTAACGCGAACCCTTAGCACCCGGTACTCAACACGGGTGTCGCAATCTGTTGTGGCTTTGTCTGTGAGTGTCAAAAGCTTCTCTTGATTCACCATGCACTCCTTAGATGTGCGCTTCCTCTCGGAGTTTTTGTGACACATGTCTTCGGATTCAGAACTGCGGAAAAGTTTAACATGTTGTGTGCTCTCTATGACAGCTTTCAAGGGAAAATCGTTGACTTGTATGAAACGTGGAAAACTTGATTATCGCTGCGAACACACTCGGCGCCAATACGTTCGTTACCAAAAGAAGATGGGAGGATCCACTTCGAGAACGAGAGATGGGCAGTCTGGTGAATCATAATAATGGTGGGAAAGAGTTGGTTATTTGTGGCGGGCTCTGGATCAGTGGTTGTTAAGAAAGTTCCGCTCACGCTCAAAGACGTGAGGAATTTATTCCGCGATTTCCAGGTTCCCTTTCCAATTCCATTTTCCAGGGGCTCACGTTCAAGGAACTAACTCTTAACTCCGGTATTCAGATTGTGCAGGGAGTATTGGGGGATCACGTGAAGGCGGCCGCAGGATTCAGGCAGAATGGGACATCGCAACCCGAGAGTAGTAACATCCATTTTCTTTAATATACTTCTATCAATCTATTTTGACGACATCACAAAAGACGGTGCTACTTCAACCCGGTTCGATGTCACTTTTAACTGTAACTGTAAACGTGGTGAATGTAAAAGTCTCCGTACACTTCGCATGTTGTCCTTTTCAATTCCATTGTTATCCATACAGGCTCAACATAGCTTCAAGAGCTTACGTTGGTATATTAATTCTCTTCCTTTAGCAACACGCGTAATTGTACGGCTTGAGTATGACTCTGCAAAGTAACTATTATCTACAATTGTTACGTAGTGCCTTACCATTAGAATACTCCAGATGATTCTCTCATATCCATAAAGAACGATCTATTCGCACACTCACCCTCTCACCGTTTAAACACGCTCAATCCACCCTCCACCATGATAATTCCCCTCCTAAAACCCCTCCTCCTGCTCACCCTGTTCTCCCACACCCTCGCATCCCTCACCCCAAAATCTGGCTCCGAACATCTCCTCATCGCCGACACAGGAGTCGGCCACCGCAGCCGCCCCGTAACCACCTGGCGCACTTCCCTCCGAGGCCTCTCCACCATCGGCACCAATTCCCTCAATCTACTCAACTTCGGGAACCCAACGCCTGAGAACCAACCCATCGGGTCCAGCGGCCTAGCCGTAGATCGTGAAAATGGGCACGTGTATGTCGCGACTGGGGAAGGAATTAAGAGAACCGATATGTTGGGCGGGAACAACGTGACCATTGTTAGTGAGAGCGCGACAAGTCTCGCAATCTCCCAGTCGAAATTATACTTCGGAATCCAAAGCACAGGCCTTATCAAACGCGCAAATCTAAACGGTACAAACGTGGAAGTATTCCTCAACGTGTCCACAGGCCTCGACTACTCCTACACCCCGTCGTACATCCCTGCGAAAGCGTCACCCGGTGGAATCGCCATCGACGAGAAGCAAGGGTGGATATACTGGAGCTCGGTGACATTTCCTGAAGACTTGAGCTCGATCCGACGCGCCTCGTTTGCGGACGTGGAGAAATATGGCGCCCAGAATGTGACTGCAGAGGTCTTAGTTGAGAATTCCGGGTATCCAGGGCAGATGCGCGTGATATGGGATGGCGATGAGGGTGTAGGGAGGTTGTATTGGGTTGAAAGGGCCCGGTATACAAATTCCCCTACGGCGCTCAAACGGTGTACCTTCAGTCCTCCTCGTCCCTCTACCCCCAAGCCCAACGGCGGTTACGTCTATACTCCGGAAACGATAATTTCGAGTGTCACACATCCGGCCATGTTCTTCAAAACTGATGGCGTGGATAATATGAATATGAGTATCACGAGTTTCACAGTCGATAATGCGAGTGGCCGGTTGTGGTTTACGGCTATGAGTAATATCCGTGTTATGTGGGCTAAGTTAGTGGGGATGGGGATTGATGGCGCGAATGCAACGTGGACCGTTCTGAATGAGAATGTGACAGATATTGGGATTCCGGTTGGCGTGGAATATGTTCCGTGAGGGGGTAAGGGCAGACAGGAAACTGATTGGAGTGATCTCGCTGGCATAGCGCTTAAGGGAGGAGAGGAGAAGCCTAAGTTGATTTGGAAAAGGGACTGGCGTGCGTACTATCTTGGACGGAAGTTGTTGAGCTTGATATATTTCTAGCTGAATAGAAGATGAAATCAATTCATAAGTTGAAACGTTCATCTGACGAAAGATGTGGTCCCATTTCGTGTAGAAATATACAATCTCTTTCCCTCCAAACTTTCCAGATTAAAGCATTCTGACACATGCATTGAGGTCTGTGAGTGCCGGAGCCTAGACTGCAATCATAATTCAAGCCAACTTCCTAGCAGCCTGCAAATCCCCCTCCCTCAACTCCCTCAAAACTCCCGTAACAGCCACCTTGCCCGTCATAGCCGCAACCCCCACCTCCTTCGCAAACCCCAAAGCCCCCACCTGATGCAACCAATAACTCACATACTTCGCCTTAACCTCAATCAATGTCATTCGCGGATCCTCCGGGCCACCATCATGTTTTCCATCTCCCAGGTCGCCAAACCACGCTTTCACGCCGTTGGACCAGAGCTCTTTGATCCGTGGGTCAGAGTTCGAGACGGTGGTTGCTACACCGGTGATAGATGCCCAATCTTGGGTTTTAGAATCTTGGAAGGTGAACTGGCACTCAGGATTCTGGGATAGGTCGGAGAACTTCCGCGAGTGGGAGTTAGCGAGGAAGAGGAAGTCGGGACCGACGCGTTTAGCGACGGCCATTGAACGACCGACAGGTCCTGGAATTTTTCAGTTAGAGTTTGGGTCGGGGGGACCATTTTGGTTATAGTTGTAGGGCGTGACAAAGAATATGAGTACGGCCTGAGGAAAGGTGGAAATATTAACATACCAATACCGTTTCGGTAGGTATTCAATAAGCCGATCTTCTTACTATCTACCAAATCGAAGAACTCCTTGATTTGCTTATCCTTTGAAGTTTCGGTGTCATATTGCTTGCCAACCGATGGATCGGTCTTTGAGTTAATTTCGCTGGATGTAAGAGACTCAGGCATTCCGAAAGAGGATGAACTTGAAAATGACTTGCGATTTGAAGTCGGGACTAAAGGGCAAGCGAAGAAAGCTGATCGGAGAAGGAATTGAGTTGGAAATGACGTTGGAATATGAAGGGTGATAGCTCGAGGAAAAGCGCGAGTACAGAGCATGCTTCTACAACTGTATTTAGAGGCAGGGAGTCGTTCTTTAAAGGGCTAAAACCGAGTCCGTCGGGGCCGCGCTATGAGCGAAAATCGACAGAAATGACGTTCGAATGATCAAGGAGATGCTCTGAGACGGTTGGAGAGGTGCAAATGGATGACGATGTGATAATTTAGGCACACGTCATACCCAGCAAAACTTACGCATGATTAATCGCGAACTGCTGAACAGCGAGACTGCTTTACAGAAACTTAGAGATGGTACCCAATGACGTTCCGCTTCGTCTCTCCGGGAGGATGACTCGAGGGTGAGTATTAGCGAAGGTAGCGGGTAGCGATGTGAAGTGGGCATACACCCCGCTCCTTGTGGCGTTAGGATAGGTGGCTAGTGGGGTCACCCCCATGGTGGTGGGGATTGTAATTGTGAATTGTGGGGGTGCAAACTTCAGATTCTGCATCAGATGTTGTAGGGAAGAAACTTGTATTCACTTGAATATCTAGCTGAGAAGCCGGAATTCTGACGAAAACGGTTCGAAAACGATCCCATTGGAGCACAAGAAATAGCCTGCGATTACAAGGAAAGGTGAGCTTGACAACTACTGGTACACTCTAGGTCGAAGGCTTAGAAGAGGGTCGAACTTTTACATTCACAGGCTCCGCTGCGGCCCTTTGTTTCGCCGGTTTAAAAGTATGCAACATATCTGCAGCTCACGAAGACTTTATGCTCGGTTCTAGCCGATCATTCGTTATACCTACGTGGCAATTTGTATCGTATTATGAGTAGAAAACCCAAGTAGATGGCTACCAGCTGTTATATCGTTGTCCACGGGAGGTACAAGTCCCAATCCACGCAGATGCATGAACGCCGTCTCGCTTCTACAACGACCGGCCTCGTGATCTACACGGAAAAGTACCTAATCTGGATGTAATATATTTGTTCGTTAAAAGTTATTCTTGGGGTTCTACGGTACACCACATCTTCATCAACGCTATAGGAAGGAGCACACGGATTTCGATTCCACTTTAGACAGACCTAGGTATAGTCGGAGGATGAACTGAGATGAAATTCTGTTGCGCAAGAAAATAGACATTCGTGCTGTGTTATGCTGCATCTTTTCGAGAAGCTATCGTCTGCAGCTCGGAACTATGCGCGGGAGCCGTCTACTGCTTCAGCGTGATTTCGTGCATAATGCAAGCACTCGAAAATCGAAAACGCCTCACCCATTCGTAGGGAATCTTACCACCCATTATCAAAAAAATGCGGAAAACGTCGGGCACTTGGCTCAGCGGTCCGCATGATAGGGCATTGACGACTCGTAGCACGCTTGGAGGATCCAGTGCTCTGGTTTGCCGGGCCCTCGTCCATGTAACTGGTAACATTTCCTGTTCTGTGAAGATAATAAATGAACTCGTAATCTCGGGCACATGGGCCACATTGCTCAGCTTTGCGAGTACGGCGGGCCTTCTGCAGGGCTGAGAAGAGCTGGGCCAATCGCTATCTTTGATGAGTCTCCTCTTCCTCCCAGCACACATTTCACTCACCGGTTGGAGATCCTGATGGAATTAACAACACAAGGCAGAAAAAAGCGCCATTTATTAAAACACAAAACACCATCCACTTACAGAATCATATACCTGCTCTCTGCCTTTCTTCAGAATCGCATGTCGCTGCGAAGGCCTATATTCATTCTATTCACCATGTTTTTGCTCTATTTCCTCACGTACTTGTGCTTGGACGCCGCTAGAGCCTTGCCAAACCTAAGACAACGTAACAGCACTCTTCCAGAAACTCATCCATTTTTCAAAACACCGAACTCGGAGGGGGCTTCAACCCAGACAATTATTTTTGGTGTCCTATCTGTCTGCCTCGCCTTAGGGTCCCTTATCGTTGCAGCACTCCAATACCAACGAAAGAGATATCCATTTCGGTCCTCTACTTCTACTTCTGAAAGTATTGAGATTTATCGGAGTATGTAACTACTTTATTGAGGTTCCAAGCGGTTTTTAGAGCTCAGGTAATCCTAGTTCAACATCTACACCTTGGACGTCGCCTTCCCGTCCCTATGCCTGAGCTCAGTGTTGAAGATGAGCACTCTCTCCCTCCTTCAAGAGAAGGAAGCATTGTTGTTACTTCTCCTTCTGCACCGCATTCAGGGGAGGCTTAGGTCGAATTAGGCGCTAGCTAAGCCATCTGGGGTACCTACTTTGGCATGTGTGATATCATACTAGCTCAAGCCCGATGGGTAGTGTGCTGTGTGGTGCATTACGCAAAGGACTCGTGAGGACTTGCACATACCTATTCTCAAATGTGCGCGGCTGGGCTCTCACCTTTGCTTGTAAGATGTACGGTGCGACTTCTTCTAATATACAGTTTCTCGCCTCTCATTTATTGCCATCTGGAAAAAAGTTCAAGGAGACCAACTCCTCTACTGTAATTGTTCCATGTAATGTGTGCTCGTCGAAACGAAGCTACAAATAACCTCGCCAAGAAAGCCCGAGGCTGAATAAGGATCAGAGGATACTGGTACCGATCGTCCTCAGTAAGAAATGTAGCCACGTCCATTGTGGCAGGGACTCTGGGTCGAGGGGCTGATTCATGAGATAAGGACGTGCATCCTTGCGTAGCGAGACACCCTGTGTGGCGAGACAAATGAGGAGTACTTTGACTTTCAGCAGCTGGAAAGCCTATATACATAACAAGTACTGCTATAATTCTATGAAAGTAATCTACTGTAGCTAATTCTAAACATTTGTGATTTACTCTTCCCTAAAAATTACGTTTATATTGTTGTCTCTAAGTCTAATTTATACAACGTCTTCTTTTGTAGCGTAACAGACTTCTCTCCCTACAGTACCAATGTTAAGCTTTTTTTCGCTCTAGATTCTTGTAAAACAGCCTTATCCTAGCCTCAAAACCTCCCTCTGATGCTAGGAAGCCATCATCAGCCTTGTGCGCGTTGTCGCGGGCAAATTCATGCAGGGTCGCCACGTCATTTAGTACCTCCAGCGGAAGCGAGACTCCAATCCTAGCTAATGCGAGATGACTCCGCACGTCGCACCTCATCATCTGCGGGTAATTTACTGTAAGATCTGTGGCTATGCGGATCGCACAGGTGCTCGGAACATAAGTAAATCCGGCTCAGAATTGGGAGCAGTGTTGATAATCAGCCGGCGATTGTTTAGTCAGCGAATGCGTCTCAGCGTCAAAACCGCTCAACACAGCCATCGTACAATTTCGAGATACGGTCCAACGCAGATGACTTCGATAGCCTCCGGCGAAACACAGCTCTACACTACCGCCTCGCCCTCGAGCGCCGAATCCGCCTTTGTTCCCTCATCGAATACAACTTCCGTTACTTGGCATCAGCATCCTCGCGCAGCCCCTTACATTTCCGTGATTTCTCGGGCACATAGGGTAGGGTACCCACAACTACTTGGGAAGCCGTGGTGGAGGATTCTTGTCCGGCGATGCTGGACGGATCGATCGATCTTATTATGACGGGGTCCTGGCGATTATGGTAGACATGGCAAAGGAATAGTCAGATTCTCATCCAAGTATAACCTCTTTCCACTCATCATCCGACAGAGCAAATGCAGCCTTGAACACCTTCCCGAGAGCAACACGGCGATAAAACCCTTCGATAGGAAAGTGCTCGACGAGGAGCACAAAGAACAGATCCCACTCCGACTCGACTCTCTCCTTGGGGATGTAGTGCGTCCAGTCTGGAAACTCCTCCTTCGTAAAGGCCTTTGCCTCCGAAATGGCAATGAACTCGAATTCGGTCTTCTCAGTCTTGTCTTCTGGGCCATTCATGGCGCTGTTCTCGATAACCCCGCCCCTCTGCTGCCTCAGGAGCCACTCTGCGTTGACGACGATGGAGCCGCACTTATCTCCGCGCCGGTCCATGATGTGGCAGCGTCGCAGCCCCGGTCCGAGGCAGCCGCCGACATGGCCTGCAGAGTCCATAGTCTCCGTCGTGATGGGCACGACGTGGAACGACGCCTGCCAAGTGAAGAATTGCAAAAAGATCTGGTCGGGAAATTCGTGATAGGAGCCGGTCCTGTGACTCACCGAGGTCTTGCGGACGTGGTATGGATCCTCCGGTAGAGTCAAGGTGAAATCCTCTCTCGGCTTGTCTAAACTGGCAGACATCCCCCCCACCTGGCGAAGGCGACCATAATTATCGTGTCTGTGGATCGCGTAATTTTTGACGTCCCAGTGAGAGCGCTCTGAGTAGCTCTCTTCCCTTGGCTTCGTTCGTTTACCCTTTTTTCCTTTTCTCATGTGCTTAGGTTTAGGAGTTGATACAGTATTTGAAGTCATTCGGATCACTGGAGTGGGTACGGGGGGGGGGCCCTCTGAGAATTCGGTTGGCTGGAGTGACTGCGTCTGAATGGTCCGTTGGCGACGGCGACGATAGCACCAGCGACCATTCGTGGTCAGAATCGTCCTCCAAAGTCTCATTGCTGGGAACCTTGTAACCTTTCCACCTTACGCTCGTGCTTTCGTCTTCTTTAGCCGAGGACATGTCCCAAACGCGCCGGAGGGTCCCATGGCCGTCTCTTATGTGCCAGTCGATCCATGTGTGGTCCAAGAGCCATGCACGGATGTCAGTCAGACAGCCATCAACCATCTCTGGAGCATATTTAATCCCGTCGCTCTCCCATCCGCACCATGACCAGCTTGGAAACTTCATGTCCTTGTACTTCTGTTCGTCCGAACGCTTTGGCTTGTTGAGTCTCGACGATCGGCCAATCGGCTGCCAGAGGAGGGCGAAGTCGAAGTGAGATGTGGGAAGACCGAAAATGAACGGCGAGTGCATAGTGTATTCCATGAGCTTGCACATGCCACTGAATGCCGAGAGGATGTCGAATGGTTCATAAAGTTCTCGCAGTGTATACAAAGAGACACAATGGGCGTAGAACCACACGGCTCTGAGCTTGAGCTGGGACAGCATCTGGAGTGGAGAGCGCAGCAAATCCAAGGACCAGCCTTTGCCGCAGCGGTCCGCGAAGATGTCTTCCGACACCCCCGTCGAGCGACACTGGAAGTAGACGCGCCCGCCTGTGAAGATCAGGCAACGTTTTGAAAGGAGGCGCTCCTGGAACGTCCACGCTCGCTCGTTCCATTGAGATGCCTCAATGCTGACCTCTGGGGGGCGATGAAGTAGCAAGTGAGCCCCGCCGGCGCAGTTTGCGATCCACTGCGCTGGCTGATGATCTTCGTCCAGGGCGAGTAAGCCAGTTCTAGCATCTAGACCATCTGCGGCACAGAGGGTGAAGATGGCGTTCCCGTACAGCGCTTCCAACCGTACGTACTACGACTCAGAAAAGTGAATAGTTACGGTCACGTGAGCCGTACAAACGTAAGAGGACTGTCAATCGTAATGTACAACTAAGAGAGGTCCCCTTACGGTCTGTAATACGTCTCAGAAAGTCGATTTTTCCTAGTAATATAGGACCTAATTAGACATCCATGGGCAAGCGTTAGGAGGGCGTTTAAGGGGGCGTTTTTAAGTAACAATTAGTAAAAACTCTGTTGTGTACAATAAGCAAGAACGCGTTAGAGAGGGGGGGGGCTAGGGTATTAGATCCTATGCAAACAGTTAACTTTTTACCCTTAATATTATCCTTAAGTTATAATTTGCTATTCTCTCTTACTAGTAATTGCTTATACAAAAGGCAGCAGAAAACCTAAGAGTTATAGCAATATTATAACTCTTATTAG